AGGCCCGGGCCGTGGGGGCAGCGCGGCGGGGGCGGAGGGCGCGGGCCGCTCCCTGAGGGGGCAGGTGAGTGCGCGGGGCCGCCGGTGGAGGCCGCTTCTGTCCCCTCGGCGTTGCGGGTTTTCTGGAGGGTTTTGGTCGGGAACAAACCGCCGTTGGGGTGCGGCTGCGGGTCTCGGCTGCTCAGGAGGGCCTGACCCCGGGGGGGTGTCCGGCGGGCACCCCCTGTCCTCTGCCAGGCCCTGCTCTGCCCGGACAGGTTTCCCTTACGATGGGAGGGGGTTCAGTCCCCCACCTCCCCCTCACATCGGGGTGGTTTTGCTCTTGCCCGGCTAGGCTGTCACACTACCTCTGTCCCTGCCATGCTGGAGGCACTGGGACAACCCACCCAAATAATCCCTTGCAGGTCAAGGTTGGCCAAGAAAGTTTGCAGTTTGGGGCCTGCTGCCTCAGGATGTGACCACGGGCCGATTGTCCAGGGTCTGAATCTAAGGGATGCTCAGCCTGTGTGTGCCATTTCAGGTCATCCTTGGACTGAAAAGGATGTGTCACTTGTGAGGGTCACACCCCTGCAATGTCTATACACCAGTGTCCCCCTCTATATGAAGGGGGGGGGGATGATGCTGCTTCTCCTTGAGTTCTTTGGTGAAGGGAGCCATCACTGCGTGCAGGGACCCCGGACAGGCTTGCTGTGTGTGGTGCTTTCCAGACACCTATGATGAGTCTTACTCTAAGGAATTTAGCCTCCAAACTCTGCTCACAGCGATTACACTGAAATGACCTCTGTTTGCATGGAGAGCAGCTCTGTCATCCCTCAGCACGTGGGGATGGTGTGACTAATGTAATGCTGCATCCTGAACAAGCAACAGAGGTATGCAGGGAGTAGAGAAATTAAAAGCAGGGCTTGGAGGACTTCTGAGACTCTTTTTGATAAGAGCTTTCCAAATGGCAAGGCCTGATGTTAAATGCCAGCTGAATATGTCACCCCTGGGGCCAAGCCAGTTTGGAAACTCTTGTAAAGCAAGGTCTGTGTGAGTTTGTGTTTGAGACTTTGTAAGAAGGCATTTAAAATCTACTGCTGCTATGTGCAGCTGTTAGTTTGATTGCAGGGAGTTTTCTGTGGCCTATCCTTCAGCAGAATTTAATTGCAGATTTTGAACCATTGAGTTATTTTGACCTAATTATCTATTTACCTTTTTTTTTTTTTCTTAGTATCCTCTTGGAGGAATATAACTGTGCTGCTCCACTGACTGGAAAGAAATATTGCCTCATCTACACTTCTGCCTGCGATGCCTGCCCTATCTCAGTGTAGCCTGGTGAGGGAAGACGAGCAGTAGCCAAGCAGTGGACAGGCTACAGAGAAATTTTTTTGTGCTTCACTGAACTAATTGTTGCTTGTCCAAGAAAACAGGATGGATGGGAAGAAGTGGTACCAAGTTACAAATAAGGCGCTTCCAGCAGGGTCCAAGTCTCTTCTTTAAAGAGAAGTTCCATCAAAGAGGCTGAAAAGCAAACAGTCTAGTCAATCAAAATGGAAGGAGGCAACAGTCCAAATCTGCAGCTTCAGCAACTCCCGCTGGCCACAGCAGAGGTTTCTGTGCAGCCGCACACTGATTCCTTTTCTTACAAGGTCAGATTTGTACCCTGCTCTATCCCTAGAAGGCCCTAACTATTCAAGTAAGCTGATAATGCCACTGTTTTTTTTTTTTTTTTTTTTTTTTTTTTTTTCCCTTCAGAAAGTAGACTGTCTTTGTATCTAGCCATGCCTGGAGGCCCCAGTGTATTATATGCTGTGTATATAAGCAGTGAGAGAAAGAAAGAGCTAGACAAGGTGAAGAAAGGACAGGCAGTTAAAAGATGTGGCTGTCTAAAGGTGGTTAGGTGCAATAAATTCTGCTAGGTGCCTATTCAGACTAACTCATCCAGCAGTAATTGAGATCAGATGTTCTGGTCTGCTGTGTATTCAGGTGCTTGAATTTCAGGTGGGTCAGCCCCTCGTCATGCAGAGACCCTGCAGCTGAGATGGGATGTGTTGCTGTAGTTCCTCCTTATTCTGGGAACTGTTCCCAAATTGATTTCCTCTGAATCCCTGATTCTGAAGGTACTCAAGATTGTAGCAAGAAGGGCTTTTTGTCACTGGAAAAAGTGCTTTGCTGAGAACAGAGTCCAAGGTGCATTACAGAAGTTGACCAGACTGATGTTGGCTTGCAGGCTTTCACAGTCCAGAAGCCAGTCCCAAACCTGTGCTGCACTTGGGGGCTTTTTAGCTGAGGCACCATCTCCTTCTAAATTGAAGTTGCAAAGCCAGTAAACTGTGCTGAGCTTCTCTGGCTACATCTGTGATCACACAGTGACATTTTTCTGCCAACTTTACCGTCTGTCGTGGGAAGATCTCTCAGGTGTTTTTGAATGAAGCTTATTTCTTTACATCCTGATCAAGAGATTTTTGTTCTACTGATAAGAACTTGAAATCTTAAAAGTCCTTGTCTTACTATGTATGAGAAAATCAAGAATAGTATGTTTACTCTTGAGGGAGGAATACCAATGTGAGCTCTGTTATCCCAAATCAATCCAAGTAAGTACTAGACAGTATCTTGGAGACCAGCACTGAAATGAAAAGTGCTAATGACATCTAATGAGATTTAGACAGTTGTTGGAAGAACACAAGTGCTAAATGGCCTGGCTTAGCCTCGGGCTCTTCAGTTCACTCCTAATGTACATTTCCTTTGTGACTCAGCCTGCTTTACATCCCTTTTTATTTCAGATTCTGTCTTTAGACCGTGAGAATTAGTGCCGAGCTGGGAATGCTAATGTAGAAGGGTTGGGAGCTTGCTAAGAGTTGCTACCAGTTGCCTATTACTTTGGAATAACTGATTCATTTAAAAAGCAGCATAAAATCTGTGATAATTTAGCTGCCTCATCAAATGGGCTAAATTACTGAACCAGCAGATGTTGTAAGTGGAGAAGAGCAGAATGGTTCTTAAATTGTGACCTGCAGAATGTACAGGTTCCTGATCCATACTTTACTGAGTTCCAGGGCAACAAACATCCTCAGAAAACAAGAGTTTTTCAAAGGGAGAAATGAGTGAATGGATCCTGTTCTTCTGTATCTTCTTTCCCTCTGAGAAACTGCAAAGAATGCAAATGTATGCATACTAATTTAAGTCTTTTGTAGAAAGTGTCTGTTAAGTAAAGGTTATCCTTCACCTGAGTTTCACAAATTTAGAATGTAGCCACAGGGAATTTTACCCGAATTGCCCTAGATCACATAGAAAGGGAGGAAGATAAACAGAGATTTTACTCACAGGTCATACAGGAACTGTTTAAAAGTATCTTCCAGATTTTGCAAAAAAGCTCCAGTTTACTTCAGGGTCCAGTGGCTAAATTTAATATCTATGTGTTTACTTTGTTTTTACAGGAGAACCTGATTGGTGCATTACTGGCTATTTTTGGGCATCTTGTCATCAGTATTGCACTCAACCTCCAGGTGTGTATCGTGAAGCAACTATTCATCCTGCATTAAAATGCATCAAGCATCCCAAAGCTTTGTTGCCTTTATTTTCTTTTCTAGAAATACAGCCACATCCGGCTGGCTGGTTCCAAAGACCCCCGAGCCTACTTCAAAACCAAGACATGGTGGTGTGGACTGTTTCTGCTGGTGCTGGGTGAACTGGGAGTTTTTTCCTCTTACGCCTTTGCTCCTCTTTCACTGATTGTGCCACTCAGTGCAGTGTCTGTTATAGGTAAGGGGGAAAGAGACAGTGGCTGTACGAGTCCAAGTGCCTTCCAGTGCGGGAGTGCTGAGCACTGGACTGATACATAACTCACTGTTTCTCTCTCCTTTTTTTCATAGCTAGTGCAATCATAGGAATTATATTTATTAAAGAAAAATGGAAGCCCAAGGATTTTTTGAGTAAGTTCCACAGTTCCTTTTTATTTTTCCTCTCTGTTTACAAGTCAGGTGACACAAGCATGACCTCTCAAAAAACATAATTAGAGGGGTGGCAAGATCTCCATTAGTGGTAGTATTTCTTTGAAGAAATTCATCATCTCATCCACTGTTTGATAAAAATGTGTTGGGTTTTTTTTTTTTCCTGACTTATGCCAAATCATCTGATTCTCACAGATTTTAGAAATATATGGAAATAGTGTTTGTCTGCAGGATTTGAGAATCTTGGTTCTCTGGGCTGAAGCTGCAGCCTGGGGCCTTGACTCTGCAATAGCGTAGGCACAACTGCATCAGCTGAATTTCATACATGGGCAGGTGTTTGCAGAACTGGGGCATTCATTCTTCCATTTCCTAGAAAATGGGCTGTGGGCAGTGCCAGGCAGGATAAGCCCCAGATACAGATCTCGTAGCTCCTGTTTGTTTAGCAGATGCTACCTGGTATGAGCATTTTTAATCAGCTCACAGCACACACACTGCCTAGGGTTTTTTTGGTTCTAGTATTTTGAAAGTGGGGCATGAAGGGCAGAGGAGTGAGTCATCCAGAGGAATGTGCATGATGTCATTAATGGTCACGGTGCATGTGCGATATTAATTCCATGCATCCACACTAACCCACTAACTTTGTCCTCTCTCTTTCTTTTTTTTTTTTTTTTTCTTCTGTCCTTTGGTTGCCGAAGGGCGCTATGTTTTGTCCTTTGTAGGCTGTGGTTTGGCAATTGTTGGAACTTATCTGCTGATAACATTTGGACCTAATAGTCATGAGAAGATGACAGGAGAAAATATCACTAGGCATTTAGTGAGCTGGCCATTTCTGTTGTATATGGTAAGATGGCCCATGAAATGTGGGACAGTTTTCTGCTATGTGCCTGATTGGGAGTTTCATTTCAGGCTTTATTCTTCCTTATGGTTACTAGCAATACTCATTGTACTTGCTAATGAACCCATGCCAGCTTTTCCTGGTGTCAGTTCCACATTGCCTGTGGACACCTGCATGCACAGTTTGGAACCCTCCCATTCTGCCTCTGAATTATTCTGCTAGGACTTAAATACTTTTAACGGAAGAGTTTTAAAATAGCTTGTCTCTCCCTGACCTGTCAGCTTCAGCCTGTGGCAGCAGTACTGATGGCAGCTGGAGGCAACTGCTCCAGAGGTGTCCAGATACTGTCCTTGCATCTGGGCTCTTTCTAGACTGACTTTCTCTGGAGCCATCGGTCTCACACTGAAAATCTTATTTTTAATGGAGATAAGTTTGGCCATTAACTAAGATGTGTGCTTCAGGGATCACTTAAAAAACCTCATTACAGAAAGTAGGCTGAGATCTCTGGTGTGAATATTCAGTCAGGATTATCTGATCTGCTGCTTTACCATGAATATAATGTCAAAAGTGTCCCATGTTTCCTGTTCTGCAAGAAGCTATTTAATATATCATCTAATTAGAATCTGAGATCATGCTAAATTTGATCTATAATTGTGGGGGAACCTCATTTTCCTTTGATTTGCCCTGTTGTGCAATTCTAATGTTTGACTGCCTCAGAATCCTGTTTACTACCAACCCCATATACCCCGCATTTTTTTAATATTCTCATTTCTATCTTTTGTAGCTTGTGGAGATCATCCTATTCTGCCTACTACTGTATTTTTACAAGGAGAAAAATGCAAACTACATTGCAGTTATTCTTCTGTTGGTAGCTTTGCTGGGTAAGTTGATATGGACCTGTATGATCTTCTAACTGCCTTATAACAGTAAACTAGAGTAAACTGAAGCATCTGTGGCATATAGGGAATTATGCTGGCATAATTAATGTTATAAAATGCACCAATCCACCCCAGAAATGTTACTGCAAATCAGGCAAAGCTAATATCTTGCTGTGATATTTAGGATCTTTGCAAATGACCTTTAAACAATCAAGACTTACTTCCTGTAAGGACAAATAATCTGTCAAATACAGAAAGTGCAAGTATTTATTGGTGTTCTTAATTTTAATCTGTGAATACAAAGCATGGTACCATATCTTACCTATTCAGTGGATAAGGAAGACTGATTCTGTGGACGGAAGAGAGAATTTGACCTTCCAAGAATCTTCTTGGCTCTTGGAAGATTTACTGTGTGGCTTAAAGAAATGATAAATACTCTGCCATGCCAGTATTCCCTATTTAAATTGGGAGAGCCTCTGGACATGGTGTCAAAACATGCTTTTGGTATCCTCATAGCCTACAGTGACTTTGGAAAGGCCAGGATTTCACTTGTACCTTTCTCCACTTGAATCTGGGTTTTTTTTAAGAAACTGTGAGCAATTAAACTTTAAAAAGGATGAATAATAGCAAGGCAGTGACGCAGTCTGACATGCTGTTGAATCTGTGTTGCAGTCCTGAATTTCTGCTATTTATACAGCTTCAATTACTGCAGTGTCTTCTTTCTTTTTATTTTTTTGAGCTGTTTGGGGCTGAATTTCAGTAACTGATTCCTCAGAGGCTGTGTGAATTACAGACAAAGCAGCTATCCTAATTCTGAATGGCCCTGACTTGTGCTTTCAAGAAATGGAAAGGAAGTAGGCTCTTTCTGATTCCTGTTTTGAAAACTTCCTTAGCTTTATTAACTAAGCCAATATGGCATCAGTAATGAAAATTTGTATCTTTCCATTATATGATTGCACAACACTTTATTTTTTTAAAAAAAAAAAGGTAAATGCTCCCAGTCCTGTGACAAGGGAACTGTGATACAGAAACGTTAAGTGATTTATTGAAGGTCACTGTGGTGAAGCTGTTGGGAATAAAACTGTCAGGGTTGTCGATTAAATAGGCAGTTTGCATCCCATGTTGGGCCTGGCAAAAGGAGGGTTCTTGTAGAAGATCTTGGTTTTGTTTGCAGCTGCCTGTCATGTCTAGAGCAAATGTGCAGCGTTCCTGTCGCGTTGAGCGTGTGCTTCAGCTGCGTCTTGGTAAACATTCACAGGTTCCATGACTGTTGTGACTGTGAAGGCTGTGGCAGGCATGATTGTCGTCTCCATACAAGGAAACTTGCAACTCGACTACCCTATATTTTATATCATGTTGGTGTGCATGATTGCTACAGCGATCTTTCAAGCGACGTAAGACATTCCCTTTCTTTTTGTCTATAATTGGGCTGGTTTCAGTGGATCAGTATAGAGTGGGCTGTTTGTTATCCATTCCAAGAATGCTGATTCAATTTTAGAAGAATTATCCATTCTTTTCTATGACCTGTACTCAAATCCATGTCACAGGAGCTCAGGAGAGTGGTGGTGTTTGCTTTTTCCATGTAATGACACTGCCAAGTAGTTTTAATCCCAAATTTATAGATCAGGTATTTACAAAACAATATTAGGTATGAAATGGTGGCAAATCAAATACAGTGTCTGTGATCTGACTAAAATCAAAGTGCAGAATCAGTGTTGTTGATGACTTGTCTATTTTTTTCCTCCCTCTATACTTGTAATAACGTAAAAAGCTGGTGGCAGCAGGGATAAGGAGCTGTTCAAAATGTGAGCGGCATTCTGGCCCTAAGGTCAGTAGCAGTAATTTCACTGCCTTTGGTCAGTACAGCTATAAGACTTGCTCTTCTATCATATTAATTCCAAGGGATGCTGCTGCAGGTTTAGTGAGAAAGAGAATAAAGTTACTTAAATTTATGCATCACTTTTGAAAGGTGATTCCAAAAGGCAGACCTATACTAGTCCATGATAGCTGCTATACAATTTGAGTATCCTTCCCAAATCCACCCCTGTTGTCTGTTATTGTATTGCAGATTTTTAGCTCAAGCCTCACAGCTGTATGACTCATCTCAGATTGCCAGCATCGGCTATATCCTGTCCACCACTGTAGCAATCACAGCAGGTAACAGTGCACAGAACAGCGTGCTGGTCCTTTCTACAAGTAGGGCAAAAGATTTTGGAAAATAATCCTCACTTACAGATGGGGAAGGTGAATACTCAGCAAGATGACTTGTATTTTCATGTCATCTCTGTTCTGCAGCTGGCTTTGTTTCTTTTTTCTTTCCAAAAATGGGAATTATCCCCTTAGACTGTGTTAAAATTTTCTGTTAGGTTCTGTCATTTTATTTGAAGTGCATGGGAACTTATGTTTGAGACTGTATTACTCATACCATGCTAGCATGTAGAAGAGGGTGATGTGTACTCTTAGACATCCTTGAATGCACAGATAAAATTTCTCCTTGTGTAATTTTATCTAGATTTTGTTAATGTATGTGCTACAGTGTATAAATGTATTTGCTTCCTCTCTACAAAGATGTCAGAATTCTCTTCCCAACAGTCTTGTTTGCATTGTAGCTAGAACACAGCTGCTCACAGGCACTTTTCTTTCTGAACAATTTACTCCGATTTCAGCCCTTGCCCACATAGGAAACGCTTCAACTGCCTGAACAAAGATGAGCATTTTAAACCCCTTACGCTTCAAACCCGACGAGCAGCCTTTTTAAGGTTCCTCACTTAGACATATGAGCAAAACTGGGCAAAACAAACAGAAAAACCAACCAAAACCCCAACTCTGGAGAAAGTGTGTCTGCTTGACAGTGATGGATACTATCTGTGTAAATAGTTATGCTCTTCTAGGTATGTAAGGACAACAGCTTCCCCTGTAAATTACACGTTGCCTTTTAATGCTGCTCTTTAATGCCGTGAGGGAGTGTGGCCTACTCTTTGGCTCACATTTATTTCCTGTCATGTTCGAAGCCATATGCTGCTCTCAGACTCGTCAGCGTATTTACTTTACTTCAGTTAGAAATGTAAAGAGTGGGAACCAGAGTGCGTGTCCTGTTGACATCCAGGACATGTCATCTTACAGATTTGAGCTGTATATACTTGCTTGGGGTCAGGAGTTTGTATGCTCTTGTAGTCAGATCTGATCTGGTTTGTCAGTCAGACTTTAGAAATAGTGTCTCTCTTGCTGAGGGTGTGGTGACCACTGCTGTATGGTGGGAATTTGGCTCAGGCTTTAATAGCACAGTGACACGCAGTAGTTCCAGAAATGTTTCCTTTGCAACCCAGGATCTGATATGGAAAGATTTGTACTAGTGCTGTGCTGCTGTACAGATTTACTTGCATCTATATCAGTTACACCACTATAACTGTTTTGGTACTGAAATTCTAACAGATTTGTCAATAAGTTGCGTTACATTAGAAATCAGGCCACCTTTTTCTATTTTAAGATGATAAAAAAGCCAAAGGTGCTGACTATAAAAATAGGAATCTTACATGATTTAGTTTCTGGAGGGACTGGTGCTGGAGATATAGTGATAATTGCTCAGGCAAGCTGGGAAGAAAGATGTCATGAATTATTTCCTTTTAAAGGAGCAACTTTTTACTTGGACTTCACCGGTGAAGACGTTCTCCATATATGTATGTTTGCACTTGGGTAAGTGTTTAAAGTTTCCTTGATAGAAAACTGGAAAATATTTCTTCATATGACTGAAATTTTAAAAATATCTATTTATCTCTATATTGGAGGTACGTACTGTCTTGGAGAGGAGGACAAACTGAAGGCACTGTCTCTGTTAGAGCAGACAGTGGCCCATAGAATTCAGTATCTTGTCTGAGTGATGATGAATGCTCCACAGGAATTGTACACCACTAGGTTATGCATAATTGGACAACGTTATGTGCTAAACCTCTTACCAACTGTACTGGATGTTGCAGCATGTGGGCTGTTTTTCAAGCTACCTGCTCATGAATCTAGAAGAATTGCAGAATCACCAAAAGAAGCCATCTCTAGGGAATCTACTTCAGGTTTTGCAGCAAGTCTTCACTGAACTGTGGCTGGACTTGTGGAGTCCCGTTCCTGAGGGCACGGGCACTCACACAGTGCAGATATGATCAGTAAAACATTTGCTGTGTAACTTACATTTAGTCCTAGTACAGTGTCTTGATGTGATTAGCTCTCTGTAATCAGGGGACATTCTGAAAGGTCTTTCAGATTAGTACACAAAAAAACAATCGGGAGATTAATGTTATGAACTGCGCCTTTCTCTGTCAACACACTGTAAAAATCAAGATCAACAATTGTTCGTGTGTTTACCTGTGAGAAACTTTTCAAAGGTCAGACTGTTAAATCCTGGAATTTCATCAAAGTAAACCAAATTTTGATATGCTTCCTTTCCCCTTTAGTTAGTCAAGGTTAATTAACATGAAAACTTTTCCCTGTGTTTTGATAAAGAAAAGGTGAAATTGTTCTGATTGCTAGTTGGATTTCAATACTGCTGAAGAGGGTTATGCCCTGTAATTCTGACTTCATAGTTTGTTTGCTTCCAGTTCTGAATTCTTTATGCTACACAATAGGCACTTGGAAGAAGCAACAGGCAATATATCACCTCCTCTCTCTTTTCACAGTTATCTCAGTAGATCTTGTTTTCTCTCTCAGGTGTCTCATAGCATTTCTAGGTGTCTTCCTGATCACACGAAATAGAAAGAAATCTGTACCGTTTGAACCTTACATATCAATGGATGCTATGCCAGGTAACAGTAAAAATACAGTGGTTTATCAGTCTTTTTCTTTTGAGTGTTGGGCTTCGCAGTGAAAACACAAGCATTAGGCTCTGTTAAGTATCTGAATATATCAGGGGACTGTGTTGTTTTCTAGTTTTTCCTTGTTTGCACCTTGTGAGGGGTACATGCGTCTTTTGTATGGAGCAAAGAGGTGATGTGCCACCTGGATCTCACGCTGGGTCCTCTGACACTGCGGGGGTGTCATATTTTGTCAGACCAGCCTTGTCCACTTGGCTGCTGTCTGAGAAGATGAACTAGTTTCAAGCAAATGCTTGAGACTGGGCTTGGACTTCATCCAGCAGAAAGAACTGATTATTGGGGAAGGCTGAGATATGTTGCAAAGAGATACTGGCCAGGGGGAGCAGAAATTTCTTTTGGGAAGTATAGCTAAACTCTCTGGTGAGCTGGATGAAAGATCTGCAGGACTTGATAAATAACTGACTGCCATCCCTCATTCACTTGAAGCTTGTTTCTCCATTAGTTGCTTCAGTGCTAAGCAGAGAAACGTTATGTCTTTCATTTAACACTCAAGGAACTGATGAGCCACATAGCATGAACACTGAGACTTTATAATTTGCTGATTTAACAGAGTGCAGGAAGAATGCACTTTTGTTCCTAAGCATTTAATCTCTGTCTTTGCTCTTTTCAGGCATGCAGAACATGCACGATAAAGGAATTGCAGTTCAGCCTGACCTCAAAGCTTCTTTTTCCTACGGTGCCCTAGAGAACAATGACAACATGCCAGAAATTTATACTCCAGCTACATTGCCGATCGTGCAGGAGCAACATGGATCCAAAGGAGTTTCTGCTCCACCCTACCGAGTGCTGGAGCACAGCAAAAAGGAGTGAGTGACCTTTAAGGAACTGATTTGAATCATCAGAAGTATGACCTTTATTTATTTACCCACTAAAATATAAGCAAGTGTAAAGCCAACCTTGATATAGTTTAAAGCTCGTCTCAAATTTAACTTTCAAGGCTGATTATTAAAATAAACAACTCTCAATAGTTGTGAAGTTGAAAGCATTTGTCTTAGCAAGAAGTAAATCACAGTTCTCCGTTGGAGGCTGCTGTCTGGAAGCGTGACGTGGTGAGTGCACTATCGTGGCAGTATGAAACCCATGAGAGAGCAGATGCTGTGAAAACGCAGAGCTGTGGGAAGAGAAGTGACTGTGCAATTTTTAGTCCTGCTGGGAGTGCGTTTATCTCCAAACAGAAATTTTCAGGAGTTGCTCACTGAAGGAGGAGGGCAGGATTTAATCTTTCCTATATAGAGACGGTGGCTGTTTTCCAGAAAAGCTGTAAATCCTCATGTCTCTAGCATGACCACCAAACTACCTTAACATGGCAATAAAGTGTGATTGTTTTCAAGCACGAATACTGAAACTTACTGTGTCTTTAGAGCAGCATATTTGGTTAGAGTAAGCAAGCTACTTTATTCCTTCAAAACGTGAATCTTGGGCACTTTCTGTACAACTGTCGTCTGGCTAGTGTTGAACGTAGGCTCTGAGAATGTGAATGGGTTTTATAGCACCACTGGATTATATGGCAGCTTAGAACAAAGATTTGCCAGTTTTCTGGTTTCATAGCAGGAGCTTCAAGATGGATTAAATGGCCCAGAGGGAACACTGTAAAGTACGAGAACAAGAAGAAATGAGGATAGTAATGTGGCTGGTGGGGATTTTTTGTAGTTCTTGGTGAGGTCCTAATTCTCTATCACTTACATTCTGCTTGAGGCAGGATTTCCAACTTTGTTTAGTGGTCTTAAAGGTGTTGACATTCCTTAGTTAAAAAGCTCAGTCTAGGTGTTGTAGGCTGCGGTGTCCCGTCCCCCCCCTTTTTTTTTCTTTTTAAAAAAAAGCAAAAAAAAATCTACTAATCTGATATTGTGACTGACCTAAGAAGAAAAAAGAAGTGTGCACAGTCCAGCACCCAGTAAGGACTGTAAGAATAATGGAGCCTTGTGTACTCGTGATACTTATCTTTCCAGCTTCTGAGAGATGGCTAGAAGCTGATAGGAAAGGAGGACAGACACAAGGGGGGAAAACTTGTCAAGTGAAAAGGACAAAGTACAACATTTACTGGCATATGCAAGTTTTAGTGGCACTTCGATACCATCATCTTCTCTAAAAGCTATTGTTTTGCTGGGAAACAGAATTTTAAGTCTGCTTGGTGTGTCTTGGACTGTATGCATAGTGGAGTGTCTCCAGGACCATAGAAGACTTTATTTGAAATGAATAGAGCTTGTGCTCCACACATTTTTAAGTGGTTACTCTGATACCAAGGGGTTTGGGAAGATCTTGGACTTGCAACAGTGGCTTTCTGCCTTTTAATTTTTTTTTTTAAATTGACTCATGGCCAGTGTCTGTTCCCACTACCAAAAATTCCCAAGAACTCCACTGACTTGTACACAGTTATTCCAGATTCTTGCTATTGTATATGACAAGAGAACTGTTCTTTTGCATATGTTTGTCTTGCCAGCTATTGAATACTACTTCAATCTGGAAATACTTGAGATTGCTTTGGCATTTTTGTGCAGCTTAAGAAAAATTACATCCTTCCCCTCCTGCAAAGAGTAGATGCCTGGTGGCTGTGCGTGTACCTATATGTGAAGTTTCTTCACCGACTTGGCATGTCTGACAATTCAGATCTTATCAGTGGCATCCCGTACACTAGAGCTTATGAAACCTCAAGGAATAAGAGCTTTTCTTTTACCCTCAATACTTTTTGTGTTTAAGTAAGATAACAATGTTAATGGACTAATACTGCCAGAACATTAATCTTGCTGGAGTTGCAGTGACACTGATTTACTACCTTTGGCTTTGTATCCCGGGTAATCAATTGTTTGTGAATTTATGTGCAGCTTTTGTTCATTAACGACACAAAACAAAGTAGTGCAGGGGAGGCTGAATGAGAAGGGTACAAGAATGCTGGCTTTTCTTATCTCTTCCTTTTTAATCAATGAGGCAGTAGCTGTTTTGACCCATTCGTTCTGAAACCACAGAAACAAACTGTTTTAAAACAAGCTGTGCTAAACCATGCATAGCTACAAACTTTACTTTAAACACAGAGGATATTGTCATGTAGAATTATTACAGGTGTTGCTGTGGTATAAAATAATCAGAAGCACCTAAATATTTTGCTGTTGATTTCTTCTGTTGGAATGGTCCTATGTGTAACGGTACGTAGTTTTCTCAGGTTTTAGTTTTTCAATAGTATTAAAAAACTGCAGTTGACTGGTGTGCAGACTTTGCAGTTGGTAAATGCCTCGTTAGTTTTTTCTTCTAATCATGGGACCTGACATCATGAGAGAGAGACAGTGGGAAGAGAGCTACTCTGATGCGGAGCCCCTGCTTGTTCTTCTCTTTTGTGGGCTGTTCTCTGGGCTGATTTGGTGATTTTTTTGCAGCAAGCTGCCTGGATTCTCCACAGCCCTGCAGCCTGAGCACTGACTGACTCCTGGCCTGACTTCCTCTCTGCCAGGGAGCCCTCAGTTGTCAGCACACGGCTGTCTTCTGCTCTGAGTGAAATTTCCTCCAGCCAGAACCTGAGCTTTTGTATTATTGTGCTGATTTGGCCCTTTTTTTTTCCAACTCTAAAGGCAAGAGTCTTGCTCCAAAGCTTTATATAACCTTGTTTTCTTTACGCAGTCTGTGCGTGTTTAAATAATTCTACTTAATAATGACAGTTCCCTTTACCTGCAGCGAGACTTGCTTTTGGAAACTTCCTGACAAAGGACTCTAAGGGAGATGATGGTTGTTTCTACAGCACATAAATCACAATATTTTTGATTACTCCATTGTGCCACATCAGTAGAGCCTGAGGTGTTCCTTGGGCTATAGGCCTCAACTCGATGCACTGATGTTGTCAGGGTTGCGTTTTTGCCAGTCTGGGTTTAGCCACTGTAAGTGAGGACTGCCAGACTGCACCTTGCTCCTGCTTGCTGCCTGTGTTCAATACTTGAATTTTAAAGTGTGGTTTTGTTGGGTTTTTTTTGTATTTTATGCACTTCCTCCTTTCTTGCTCTTTTTTTTCCCAAGCTTCCAAAAGATTTTCTTTTCTGCTCTTCAGCACAGTCTTACAGCTGCCATCGCTGTTGCTGAGAAGGCATGAACAGGGCCCCTAGAAGCCAAACATCTGTTTAAACTTGACTGTAGGACTTCTGTGCTCTTTCTAACAATGGGAGGGTATAGCTCAGGATTGAAATAAACCCCTTACCTCCCTTCTAGTACACATCCTACAAGCTGAAAATAGGAAACTATTTGTAACCTGCTTTTTACAGAATATTGGTTAGTCTGAGGTGACAATGGCCATGCCCAGGATTGCAGCAGATATTTACAGCTAAAAACAGCATGTGAAGGTTTAAAAGAGAGGAGCCCCATGCCACATTCTAGTTCCTCTTGCAGCACAACAAATAATCTGTCGGTGTACAGCACACTTTAACGTGTGTGTCAAAACTTGAGTTTATCGAGGACTGATCCTGAGAGAGACAGGGCACTGTAAACAGCAGAGTGTGCTTACATTTCCCAGTGTGCAGCTTTTTTTCAGAATCAAGAGCTGAAAAAGTGTGCACAAAAATAAACTGACTGCTGTCTCGTTTAGTAAACTGGTAGAATAGCTCCTTGACTCTGTCTCCTAGCTTCTTCATCAAATGTGAACTGACATCTATTGCTTCCACAATGTGTGGCTTTTCAATGCACCAGAGCACTTAATACGTTCTCAGTGTATATCTTACATGTAACTTAATGCTGTTGGAATACAGCTCCTATGTTGGCTGAATGTACAAAATGATCTGCCTATAATGTTCCCTTGTTCACATTAAAATATTTAAATAAATCAAGCTTTACAGTATTGGACTATAACGGCTTAATTTTTCATAAGCAATGTTGCATGTCTATTTAATTCTATTTGTCTTTTAGGTGAGACCTTTGGAAACGAAACTTAATAAAAAGATTGTGGTAAAACCTATAGAATTCTGGCCTGCTGCATACTCTTGGGAGAGCTTCAATCAGCCATAAATGTCTTGAGAGAAGTTAAGACAGAATTTAGTTGACAACCATACTACTCTGTGCATTCAAAGAACTGTCTTTTTTATCAGGATACTTGCAAATGAAATGCAGATTGCTACAACTCATGTTTGGGGCTGCAGCATTACTAATGCTCACCATTTTACATGAGTTTGTTTGGTGTCAGCTTTAGGAATCATGCCATTTATTTTAAAAACCTTAATTTTACAGGTTTGGTGGTTTGTTTTTTTGTTTTAAAAGAAGCATTTGTTATTTTGGAGAAGAGCTTGAAAATGTGATCCAAGTATAGCCTAAAGAAGTGGGGGGGACACACAAGCTGAGCCAAATCACAAAACCAAAAGCATTATATTACTGGTGGCCTGACTCATGATTTTTGCATGCCTGCCAACTCAATACTGAAATTGAGACAACAGCATGCTTCTCTGAGACAGTGAAGACCTCTAATACTGGTTGGGAATGCTACGCTGTAGGAGATGCCATCCTTCAGATACAGGATATCATATCTTTGATTGCAGTAGACAGCTTAAGGGCATTTCCTAACAATGCCATTAAGAGATACAGACGGTCATAAATTTAGAATACTGGCAACGTAGCTTAATCGAATGCTTGCCAACCTAATTAACACTCACCATATGGGTTTTAGTCCAGGGGGATCAGCAGAAGATAACCCTCAGGATACTCTTAATTAAATGTATCTCTCGGGGTCCCAAACCACAAATGGAAGAAAAAATCCCAAGAGCAGCCTTAACTACTTTGGTGTTAAAGCTGCACTTCATAGAAATCCCTGGACACGAGTATTACAACTCTGGCTAGCGCTTTCTTCGATGCTTGCAGAAGCAGCATACTTCAGAGTTTCTGATAAATATGGTAATACTTTAACACTTAAATGATGTTAACAGTGTGTTATATCAGAGAGCACTGTGTTAAGTGCTAATAGAAAGAGGTGGCAATCAAGCCAGATGTCAAGAGCATTACAAAAATACATGCTACAAAAGAGGTGTTATTACAAGAGACAGTGTTTAAAATGCTCCTGAAATGGACACAGATGTTGGGAGTTTGTGGTATTAAAGCAGAATATATTGCTGGCCAAGGAGGAAGAACGTGGCATTGAATTAATAAAGCATGTGATTGCAGCAAGGAAAGGCTAAGGTAATTGAGACTAATCAATTACTGCCTAAATTTGCACTGCATCTAAATTGTAGAATCCCTTATCTGGACAGGTAAGACTGATCTTACCTTTCTAAAAGTGAATTCTGTTATGCCCTGTTTTTTTTTACAAGGGAAAGGGCTGCACTGTGGACAAACGAATTACAAGTCTGGTAAAGAAGACCAGTTTAGCTTTGTCTTTTTTTTTTTTTTTTTTTCCTGCACTTAAATTGTAGGAGGAAGCATTTCAACCACAGAAATTTCACTATTTATGTCAAAAAATCCTGTCTTCTGGTTTTCTACGTGAGGACAAAGCTGTTGAACTAATTATCTGTGTCTGTGAAATTCAGGAGGTTTGTGTGCTTTTTGTGGAAAACCAAATACAACCGAAAAAAAGGATGTTGGCTCGGGCTTTCTTTAGATGCAAACATCCACACGCCTTCATTTATCACACGGTTCAGATGACCACTGTCTCAAATCATCTCATCGCTGGATTAAGCCATGATTTAGCTCTGAAGAGATGAGGGACGCAAACTCACTGTTCCCATCTGGCAACTGCCTGAGCGTATCCGCCAGCTGAGGCCAACTGCAAAGTAAACCCGATTAACTTCGGCCGCCATCCAGGAGCGCACACGAGCCCTTCGCAGCAGCAATGTGCCAAGCACAAAGCACCGGTGCTGCGCTTCC